TTAACTGTTCTTTTGCTCCTCTTTGTACAGGACTACAGGATTGTATCCTGATGCTTCCAGATTTGGAATTTTCTTTGCTGTTGTCCTAGCGTCTCACATGATTGGTGAACTACTAACACTTGTTGTACTTGGCATGGTTCAAGACCCAAATAGAGTCCAAAGTGGCATTGTGCTACTTAATTCAGCTGGTGTGATAGTGGGAACAGGACTAGTAAGGTAGGAAAAAAATCTTGCTTTGTTACAGTGTTGCTGTTAACACTGATGTGGAAGAGTTGGTTTTGCAGAAATCCAGTAAAGCACAGGTAGCAATGGAAAAGCAAGAGCAGCTGTGCTCCTTCAGAGGCAGAGCTACATATTGGGCTTTGTACTAAACATAAAACCAGACACTTAGGATCTTTAGATACCAACAAAGATATTGAAATTTCCCCCAGTTTTTGCAAACACATTGAAGATAAAACTGAAAAATTAATATCTGTCAGCTCGTCTGAATTATTTTATTGCTGCTGACATGATGATGTATGTAAAAAACATGTTGTCCTCATTAAAGGAGCCTACCAAAAATCCCTGTTCCTACATTTTTTAGTAACTGCTGGAATTTATGACATTAAACATTGGTAATGCTGGTTTAAAAAAGCAGTTGCTCTCAACTGTCTTACTGGTGTTATTATCCAGTTTAGTCAGTAAACTTTTCAGTCCCTTTTTCTACCTGTAGACTGAAATCTATAAAAATTATTGAGAAGTGTAGTAAATATGCAGGAAAATCATGATCCACTTGCTCTGTTACTGTGCAGATAGATGGGTTTGTGTTTAATTGTGAAGTTTGAACAGTTTTCTCCTTGTATTTGTCAATACTGAAATTACTAGTTTTTTTGAGGGATGTACCAGAATAACGTGTAACTGTTAAAAAGCAGTTTTCCTAAGATATTCAGCAAGTAGGATATGGTTACCTGAGACCCTCCCAATGAAAATTAAGTAAGCCTAACAACACATGGTGTTGTCCTCAAGAAAACCATCTGAGTCTTTACAAAGTTGATGATGCTTTGTCTCTACTTTAAAGTAGATCTCAGCTCATACTTACAATATAAAGCTAGGTTAATGTCTATTTATTTGGTCCCTGCCTAATTTCAGGAAGATATGTGTTTACAGTGAAAGACGTTTATTCCTGCTACCGCTCTAAGCTGCCTGAATGATAAGTTAAAAGCATTAGAGCGGTTTCTAAGCTTATTTTGCAGCACAGGCTTTGCTCATTAATATTATGAATATTTTTGATTAATCTTCATAAGCAGTGAAGGACATTAAAAATAGCATTGAGACTTAGGTTGGTTGCTGGGGGTTTTTCCTGGTTTCTTTTTGTTTGTTTGTTTTTTGTGTTTGTTTTTTTTTTGGTGGTTTTTTTTTTTTGGTTTGGTTTTGGGTTGTTTTTTTGTTTGTTTGTTTTGTTTTGTTTTTTGGGTTTTTTTGGGTTTTTTTTTGTTGCTGTTGTTGTTGAATTATAAGTCTTGAAGTGTGTTAGATGCTGAAATTTCCCTGTCTTATTGAATGTTTCTTCTCATTATTTTTGCTTCATTTTTGCTTTGCTATTATTGCAGCAATGAATTCCTATTCAGTATTACTTGGTTTTGAAGATGGAGGGAGGGGTGGTGGTTTCTTACTTCGAAAGCACATTTCTGCAAGTAAGGTTTATATTGGGTCTTGTCATTTTCAGTTTGTCACTGCCATGTGAACAGCAAACAACCGTAGAATTCTTTTGACTGTTCATAAACAAGTCAGGGCTGAATGTTGTGACACTCTACCAAAGTCAGGGACAGCCTTCATGGTTGTCTCATCATTTAGCCCTAAAATTGGAGTTTATGTTTGAAAACCCTACAGGTAGAGACAAGAACTGTTTTTGTCACAGGTTACAAACAATGAGAGCTTGTTTTAATTTGGGGTCTCCTAGTATGTAGCAAAAGCCATCTTAACTTCTCTGTTTCTTTAAGGACCATTGAAGAAATGCCAACACCTTTGAAACTACTTAGTTTTCTTACATTTCAAAAATACAGCAGTGAAGTCCTTGTAGTCAATGAATTTTATGGCTTAAACTTCACATGTGGTAAGTGTTTAAAAAAAAAGTCCATTATAAATAATTTTAATGAGATGTTGATGCTTATTTTCCTTCTATGTACATGTATCCTGATAAAATAAATGTAACTTTTGAGTTGCTAAAAAGAACTTACTAATTAGTGAAGACTATAATGCCACACCAGCAAGTTAGAGCAGAATTTGATTCTTTTGTTCCAACCATTTCCCATTCTTCCAGTTCTTCCACCTTCCTCTTTTTCACCTATTCTCTTATCCCCTCTTTGGAGGAATTTCGGAAGCTAAGTTTATTACAGGCTGGAAATTTATTTTGTGCAATGTTACACAAATAGAGCATCAAGAAGATTGCACAATCTAAGATCAATGTCAGTGGAGGGAATATTGAGAGGTAACAAAAAGCTGACCAGGTATCTCCTCTAATACTACAGAGGGTTCAATTCAAATGTGTTTCCGTGGTATTTACTGAGCAGCTTGGGTCTGTCAGGCTGTGCTTTGCTGGTTGTGAGGAAGACAACCTGCAAAACAAGAGAATCAATCATGGTGGCAGGGGTAGTAGCTAATACACATTAGTGGGGTAAAACTTACACCTTTGAATCTACCCTAAGATAATTGGGGTGTTGTAGCCAGGTGTCTGTGCTCCTCTCCAAAGCTACATGTTTTTTATCTATTAATCTCTCCTGCACCTCTTTATTACAAGATCAACAATGGTTAGAAAACGAATACATGACTCTATTAGTACCCTTCAGACAGTCACCATTTCTTGCATTTTGGAACCCTCAACACATATGAACACTGTAAGTCTACCACATGGGGCAACTTGCTTCTTGATTCCACTCAATGTGGCAGATAATGTGTCTGAAAAGCCATAAATCTTTGTTTGGCATGAACAAAAGAGAGAGCTCCTAGTGACCTTTTATTCTTCCCTTCAAAAAGTATGTCGTGGATTAACTGCAGAAACATGGGGCTTGTCTGGTTTTATTCCAGAGCGATGAGAAATACTGCTGTGGGTATGGTTCTGCATGGAAGTGATGTCAGGGAGACGTGCATTTAAGGCATGAGTTAGAGACTGGAGTCTGAGTTTTAATTTTACTGATTCACCTACTAAAGAAATTGTTTCTTTTGACAGGTGGAGCCAACAGTTCCACTGCAAATAATGCTGCATGTGTTCTCTCTCAAGGCGTCCGGTTCATCGAAGAAAACTATCCCGGGGCATTGTCCCGGTTCACAGTCGATTTCCTCATACTTTATGCTTTTATACCAGTACTTGCCATTATTGCAATTCTAAGCTTCAAATTAAGAGAGAATTACTGACAGACAATGAAAAAGTAGCAATTCCAACAGTCTCTAATACTATACTTCTATCTGTATTATGGTCGAAGGCCTATATTGTTGGATTTTAGATAGAATGTAAATGATTACACATATAAAAACACATTCATTTTTTCATGTTTGTTTTCACCTTGAAAACCAGTGTTCTCTTAAGAGTGTGAATGACTCCTGATATTGGTGTTCCCCACCCCTCTCTTCTGGCTGATTTCCAGATCAGCCATAATCAACAGTATTTCATGTTTTAAAGGGCTTTCTGATTTAATTTAGTCAGCTGTTGCTGACAATTTTTAACAATGTAGCAATGGTGCTCTAATTTTTTTCCCCACTATTTTATACTAGTAAGTAGAGGGGTCCAACTGCTAGTAAATCTCATTTCTAGGATTGTATTTTCAGTCTTATGCCTTGTTTTGATACCATTTGAGGAATCTGTAGAAAGGAAGCAAACCAAATACATGTAAAGACAGAATCAAGAACTCACTCCACTTTAATCTCATACACACTATACAACTGATGAGTACAGGATTTTGAAGCAGTATCAAAGTTACACAAGTTGGTTTTGCCTTGTAAATGATAGTAAATCAGCGAAGACATTTAGGTTATTTCCATGAATTCTTTCTTTTCACTGTCAAGTTCTAACCTTGTTTTGGAAGCAGTTTATGAATTACAAGGAAAAATATATGTTTGTTTAATAATGTTTTGGTTTTATTTAATAAAATGTCAATTTAACTAGGGAAAAAGTATAAGAGTTGTTTGTCAGAAGCAATGCCATTTTCATCTTTGGAAATTTTTCTCATGTGTCTTTCAAAACTGAAAACATAACAGACACAGAATTCCTAAATTTTGTATCTTATTTTCATGTTCTGTGAAGAAATTAGTTTTTGCAGAGAGACAGATTTCTCCAAGGAGGTAAGTATATTTGTATCTTAAAATTCTGTAATTATATAGCTAGTTTATATGATAGTTTTGAGATGAGGCAGTTCATAACAAGGAATTTTAAATCAATCCTCAAGGCAATACAGTATTTCCACTTAAGTGTATTTTTCTATTATTTTTATGTAAAATATTCTGAGATATAAATGTTGTTATCAGAAAAAACATCTGGTGAATGAATATGTTAAACATAACAAATAGCTTTAAATAGCTGGAAAGATACCAGATTAGTCTGTCTCTCCCATTTTTATGAGCATGTAGGGTTGATCTGGTTTGCCAGGTGACTCTTCAAACATCCACTCTGACAAGTCTGAGCTCTCAGGAGACACCTCTGGCTTTAATCTGCATTGTCTTGGGTATTTTCAGAACACTCAGTGCATCTCACACTAGTGAGGTGTGCATGGACAAAAACCCATTCCTGCTGTAGGCTGAATGTGAATCAGTAATACTCTCAGCAGTAACCAAGTATCTGTCAAATTAATTAGACTGACTTCCTAGCATTTGAATGTGTGACAGAAACATCCATCTTCTAAACTCTGTGTGACATTATGCACTGCAAGAAATAAGTTCTGTATTAAATTGTGTGATTCTGTGACAGAGAGAATGCACACTTCTGAATTCAGGTCAAAGAAGGATTTAACTCCATGTTATTCTGCCAGTTGTAGGGGTTTTTTTATTTATTCAAATATATCAAACAATTATGCAAGTATTTCTTAACCTTTGGTTTTGAACTACAAAAAGATGCCTAGCACACTACACAATTTCATATTTTGGGTGTGAAAACTTGTTTATATTTAAATATATGTTTAGACTAGAAGTATTCAAAAGTAAGTAAAATAATGTGTTATAAAATATATAGAATTGAGTAATGCCAGTCTTCATATACAGACCCATCTGAGAGCAATCAAGAACTCCTTTCACCCCACTTTTTAAAACTCTTTGCTAGTGCCAAGATAAACAAATTTGGACTGAGTGAATAAACAGCTCCTTTTCTGGAAAGTAACAGCAGGGATGCTTAATAAATACCAACGTTGTAGTTTGGTATTATATATTTTCAACTGCATCAGATGAAATTGCTCATGTAATGTAAAAATGATAAAAATAATTTTGTAAATGGTGTTAAACTGAAGACAGAGCAGTTCCTCAATCAGAATCAAAATCCATTTCTTTCCAGGATTTAGAGGCATTTCTTTTGTATTGTTCAAGTTCCTAAAAAAGAAACATAAATACATATTAAGCTAATTTTCTCATTAATAAAAGTCTCCAGAAACTTCATGTATTTATTTGGCAAATGTGTGTATGTACAAACACTTCTCACTGCCGAGGTGTTCTGTATTTCTGTATTTAACAAAATTATCCTAAAAGGGCTATGAATTTTGCCACAGGTGCTGTACATTTTGCTGTACTTTAGATCAGTAGAGTACTAGCAAGGTAGATAAATGACCTCATCTGAGCCAGTTGGAGCACTGAAGTCTATAATAGAAGTTTCTAGCACCATTACAAAAAACAGTTTCCTCTGCTGAATTTTATGTAGGGGTGTCTACTGTCAGGAGTAATTTCTAAAGATTTTTCAGCAAAAAATAATAACTTAGGAAGCCTTAGGTTAGCTTTTCATTCACTTCAGAGTAAGGCTTCCAGCAAATTTACAGGAAGATGATGCTTTAATGAGGTACTTTTAGACCTAACTCTGTACTGCTTGCAAGACAAAAACTCACCATATCTTTCTTACATCAGGAAAGAGGTGGACACAAATCAGTACTTACGATAAATGTAGCAAAGACCTTCAAAAGTGGACATGTGATTTATTTTGATTAAAGAGAGGTTTTCCTGTAGGCGTGCAAGTATCAGCATGACAAAAACAAAATTCACTCCTGGTGAATTTAACTATCAGTCCAGAGCAGAGGGAAGAAGAAGACATTAAAGGGCAGAACAAGAAAGCAGTCATCATTTTAAGATTGTATGGAAGTAATAAATGGAATTTTCTCTCAGGAAGTAATTTCAGCAGCTTTGTCAGAGGTGCAGAGTTTCCAGAAAGCACCCCAGCTGTATAAGCAGAGAGAAGATTTTTAGTTAGTGTACAATCTTCCTAATGCTTGTAGGAGTCTACCGGCAGGGTTAAGTAACTCCATGGGGGACTGGCACAGAACATACTGTGTCTAGGCTAAAGCCAGTAACTTGCATTATAAGCTGCCACTCCAGTACTGTTGAACTGTTCTATCTCTAAGCTGGTTTTTATTCACTATTTTCACTCCCTTGTTATTAATATAAAGTAATTTTGATCTTGGAACGTACCGAACTGTTGGAAACGTGCCAACGGCTAGGAATAGAAAAAATACTGTGGTATTTTAAGGAGCACATGGAACATGGATTTTTGCTAAGTGATTTCATTTTAAAACTTTCTCAAAGGTTTCAGGAAGAAACCCATCTGGGGTCATGTCTACAGGTGTTGGTTAACTACCTTGCAGATTTATCCTCTGACTAAACTCTTTCAAGAAAGAGGCAGATAATTCAGCAGAATTAATTTTGCTCTATGTTTAGCTAGCCTAGGAGACAATTCAGTGTAAAGGCAATTCAAAACAATACAAACATGCAAACTGTCAAACCACAGCATATATTAAAGCTGTATAGCTACTCCACTACATACAGAAGTACAGAACAAAATTATAAGTATTTATTTTGGATGTGTATCTAGGTAAGGCTAACATTTAAACAATGAAATGAAAAAAAAAATAATTTATTAAATGGGAGGATATTTAGGAAAAAATATTTTAAAAATGCCAGTGATTCATGAGGGAAAATGTCAGCAAAGTACACCTACCTAGTTTCTGTGCAAAATAGAAAGCAAAATACATCCCTGTAGATCAGAAATGTAATGCAAAATTCTTTCAAACACTACTTAAAGATCACTCCAGACACCCTTTTGGAAAAGGCCCCTTCCTGCTCGTCAAGTTCTACACTGCAAACATGAGCAGAATTCTAGAATAGGCTGATGATACAATCAGCTAAGAGAGCATCTCTCCACAGAAAAGAAGATCCTACAAAAGAATGTATCTCAAAGTACACCAAAATCTTCATGCTAGCATTATGCTATGCTTGTTTTGTGAGTGCAAGTGTAGGGGACAGAGATCAGATATACAAAGAAAAAATAATTGTCATTTAAATGCACTTTCCATGTGATCTGAATGCTTTAAATGTAATTAGTGCTAACAACTTATCACAGATATCTCAACACTGGCATAAAGTGGGCTTAAAATTTTTTTTTAAACCTTAATGCTTCTGTACTTCTGTGTTTCTGTAAATTCTTCATCTGTCAAATGGGGAAGATCACACCTAATCTCATAAAGGGATTGGGAAGAAAGACTTAACTGATGTTTGTGAGGCACTCAGATAAGATAGCATTACCACACACTCTCAGAGAAAAAAAAATTAATACTTTTGTGTTCATTGAAGTGTCTGAATGGCAGGTTGAAAAATAAGGTACATAAAGAATAAGGATGATGAAAAGAAATACTGAACAATTGAACTGAGACATCAGCAAAATAGTATATGATCATGTAATTAAAGACAATACTACAATGTCTACAAACAAGAAGGAAAAATTAAGATTGTAGGAAAAGCCTTAATTGTTGCATTTCCTCTGTTCTGAGTGACTGATATGGCTTCAACTTTCCTTTTCATGCAGTTTCTTACTGGATGTGCCCTCCATCTGGAACATGGTGAAACCAAGTACTGAAACACTAATTAAAAGTCTTAAGGACAAAAACTTTAGTAGAAAATTTAATAACAGTGCTCTAATAATGCTCTTTAATTTAAAAATTAAAAACAAAATCATTTAAAAATGAAATATTTTTTACCCATTTGGACATGCTTTCATGTGAAAACAAGAAAGCTTGTTCTTGGCAGCTAAGTAAATATCCTAAATAACTTTTTCTGTTGCAAGGACTAGCACATGTCCTCCTGTGGAGAATATGAAAGCTGCTACTGCTCTGTTACACACGTTAAGGTAGGGGCCTATTATATTTCTCTGCCCAGTAATATTGCTGTGACCAAGGGTTCATGGCACAGTATGAAATCTTGTGTTTTTTTGTGGAATGTGACTGAAATGGTCTCCTGAAGTTCAGCAATATGATCATGTCAGCAAACTGTGCTGGAAAAATATGGCTCTCAGTTTGTTGGCCAGCACAGTCCACATGTCAGCTGCAGATCTGACATGGAGGTGACATTTGGTTGTGAGTTGATTAGGTTGCTGCAATTTTAGGGGAAATGCAACTGTTCCTCCTTGTGAGATGTAGAATCTTCTTGTGTTTATGACTTTTTAAAGTCTTAACAGTTACATCTCTGTTCATTAAGATCTGCTTCCATGACTTTTAGCTGACAACAAATGGCACCAGGCATCTACTTTTTTGACCTCATGGCACCAGGCATTTAATTTTTTGATTTCATGGCATGAGGCTTCAGCTAGAACTGGCACCAATCCCCGAAGTAATAGCTCTGTGTAACAAGGACCAGTGACTGTGAACTTCAGCACTGCATGATTACTGAAGCACATGAGTAGGAGGCTCTCCAGTTCGTTGAGCTCAAGGTTGAGCTTTATCTGTTGCATCAATGAATGAAGCTGCAGTCAAATGTCCAGATCAAAAGGTCCAAGCACCTATTTTGAGCATTAGCAGTGAAGGCATATCAGGAAACAACCTTAGAGTACTTACATCTGTGGCAGAAAGCATTTCTAAAAGAAAGAGAACAGACATTCCCATGTGCCAGGCTCTCACTGCCACAAACATTTAGAAGGAACTAAAGAACATGCTCCCCATAGGTGCTCACTGATTCAGGTGTATACATGTAGCTCTAATCAGAAATATTATTTTAAAAGATCTCACTCTTATTCAGCTTATGTGTGTACCAGGTGACCTGAAAGCATCAAAAGCCAAACAGCTAACAGGGAGTGGATAGAGGATGACAAGTTTGCCATGTGATTTATCTATGAAGAATTAACCAAAACCTAGACATTTAAGGCCTAATAACAGAGTGATTTTCATTTTTTTTTTAATATTGAAAGCCCTGCAAAAACCACAAAATTACAGTAATTCCTGGAGAAAATCTGTTAGTTAAGAATTACATGACAGATATAAATTTCAAAAGGGTCTGTATTCTCTCTCAGAGCTTAACTACAGGGAATGGAAAGCAGTAAACAATTCCAGCAGCACTATTTGATATAAATCTGTGCTATGTATGTCTGTGGGGTAAGAACTAGGAAAAGAATTCTGAAGAGACATAGTTGAGAAAGAGAGATGTGCTCCATCTTGAAGAAAGGCACAGTGAGGAAAAGACAGCCTCAGAGAGCTTTCCAGAGCAAAAATGTTTAGAAAAAAAGTGGTACATCTCATAGTTAACTCTGAAAATATTAAAGAGGCAAAATAATCTGGTCTTAAAGAAAACAGTTATGTCAGAATGCTGATGAACTGGACTCTAAACGTCTACAGCCAAACAGCATCTCAGATAAATGCTGGCTAACAGTACCTCAGATCAGCCACTGACTTTCTTGATTTTTTAAACTGTTTTCTTATTTTATACTTAAGAATTATAATTTAATCTTGCACTCTGCTAGAGTGCAGGCAAATCCTTCTATCAGAATTACAAAGTTGGAAATTATTTATTCAGACTTTGTATTGCTACAGTTATCTCTAAATCTATTACAGCATTATCGAGCAGTTCTGATGAGGACTGAGTCAGTCAGGTATTGCTGGTTCTTCTATCAGATGCAGTGACAGGGGCTGTGTTTTGCTTTCCTTGCTGGTTTTGTGCTTCTTTTCTTTTGAAGCTTATCTTTGAGATAAATAAGCAAATAGGCTATCATCTGTAGTCCAAAGTAACATTAATTAACCGAAAGTAACCGAGAAAAATGATAACATGAAAACATTCACTGTCATCACATGATACTTTTAATTTTGCATTAGGTCCCATGATTTCATTAGCAATATGCTGTCTATTGACCATCTTAATATACTGGTCCTCCTATGCAACAGGTACCATGAGATTCTATAAAGAAAGTCAGACACATGATGAATTTAAAAAGTTGCTTTGAAAATATGATTTTTGTGCTGCTTTCCATTGAACTGGAAAATTGAAGGACAATTCAAGAAACACTGCAACTAGAGAGTTCTTTTCTTTTAGATATATATTTCTAGCTTGGTGCAATTCAAATTCTTAGTATAAAACATTTTAATAATGTGCAAATAATCTTGTAAAAATTAAACTTTGCAATAAAAACATAGGAAATAACTGCAGATAACAAAAGTAATTATCTCTTTAATGCTCAAATTACTTGTAGTAGTCCAACAAAAAGAAGCTATAATGGTTTGCAGTGCCCTTGAAGTGATTAAGATTCTAAAAGCCTCTCTCTTTTGTTTAAAAACAGAAAATTAATAATTTCCTGTGTGATTTAATCAATACATACCAGTATCTTCTTTTGCAACACATTATTATGTAAAAATAACAAATGTAGTACACTATATACTTATTTGGAGATACATAGCTATGCTGAGTATGTTTGTATTATAAATTCCAAAAGCAGCGTGCTTTACAAATTTTAATGATTTCTAACACCGTTCTTGATGTGACAGAAATTCAGAACTGATACCTATATTAACAGGATATTGCAGGTAATGTGTAGGTTCAAAGGCTGCAGGGGATTTTTGAAAGTGCTTTATTCTTTGGATAAATCTTGGTTTAATTTTAACAGACCAATACCTATGAACATACCCATACTGATGAAAACTGTTATATACAGTACTGCTACTCAGCTGATTTTATATACTGGTATATACTGTTAGCTGTAAGGCAATCATTTACCCTTCACCTAGTTTGCCACAGAATTTTTCTATAAAATTAATTCCCCACTAATCTAGAAAAAGGCAGAAACACTTCACAATTTTTAAGAAAAAAATAGAAGATCCTTTCCCCATTAAAGGTCTTTCCTGGAATTCAGGGGTTAAGCCACATGTCATCACTCTGTGGAACAATTCCATTCACTCTATTTAAGATAAAATGTCCATAGCCTGCAAATTCAAGTTAAAAATGTTATCATCGCAGTACCTTTCCAGTTTAAATAAGTTTTGAAGGAGAAAGACAGAAGTAAAAAGTCCCCACCACAAACTTTGATATTGCTTCCTACACTTTCTGTTAGTCAACACTCAAATGAGAGTACAGAGTGAAGAAATGAGGAAATGACTGTCAAGAAAGCTTCAAAGTTTATTTTAGTGAGTTAATTTTAGAGTACAGTTTGGGGGAAAATTGGAATTATTAATTTCTAAAGAAACTCAGAGCCATAACTTTGAGATCTAACAATGGTCTACTGGCTTAGTATCTTAACAAGGGGAAAATCTCTCACAACCAACTATTAAGCTGAAATCTGAAGCTGAAATTATTTAAGGGCAAAAAGGGGAAGTACGAGCATATACTAATAGTTCAGCAGTGCTGGTGGTTCTGGAATACCTGACTGTGAACAGCATTTGGAGAATTACCACGCACCTGATTTTTCTGAGCTCTCATGACATCAACTTCATACTCAGCATATTGACTATCCTGTGCAGGGTCCTTTGTATCTTGTAAATCACAGAAACTCTAAAAGGAGAAAAGACAAAACCCCAAATGATAGGATTTATCTTCTTTTAACAAGAAAAAGCCACACTATAGAAATTAAAGTATTTGCTTTTAATACAAATATATTAAAAGCTTGCATTTATGGAACAATTTTGTGCTACAGGACACAGAGTAGTTAAAAAAACCCCAAATTATCAGTAAAGTGAAGAAAAAATAAGAGTGCAGCTAGATTCTAAAGGGCAGAAACTATTCTTACGTGGTGGTTGGTTATTATTTTTGAGCATCAAAATGAAAATATCCATTCTGGTCCATGATGTCAGGGCACAGTTGAGGTTGCCCTTGATAAACTATTTAATGCTCATGACTAGAATTCACTTTTGGTTACCAAAAGCATTACTTCAATAGCTGAGAAACAGATTGCTGTCTTTGCCAAATATCTGCATTTTCATTTCCTAGCCTTGAGTGAACTATAAATTAAATTCTAAAGAAGCAAAAACACTAATAGTAAGAAAAACTATCAAATGAGGAGGGGTTTTTTAAATGGTGTCCTGCACATTTCTCCTTAATCATATCAAATGGAAAGTAGCAAGAAGGCAATAATAACAGTGATGGAATAAAATAAAGCAGAATTCTACTTCCTAAGTGAGGCAATGGAAAAAGAGTTTTACAATGCACAAAAATAGCTTTGAAGTTTAAAGCCTGCTGTGGAACCAACCCAAGAGACTCTTAATCTATTTGGCAAATGTTTAAATCTTTAATTAGACTGATACACTGATGAACAGCTATGGATCTTGCCAGATGAGAAGTGTATTCATTTCTCCAGCTGTTTCAGGGGGAGTTCAGGGGATACTTGGAGGGGTGGGTACAGGAGGAAACATTTGTTTATTGTGTTTTTAAAGGCTATGAGGAAACACAACATGAAAGCTAACACTTCTCTATAGTTTCTAAGGAGTTTAGTCTTTATCATGTTGGGGCATTTTATACTGAGAACAGCATCTTTCATAATTTCTAAATGTGGGAAGGTGACTGAAGATGTAGGAGCAGCACTACATACACGCCTTTATCTTTTAAAAATGTATTAAAGAGTATTGCTAAGTGAGACTAAAATTCCGGTCAGTGGACTTGAAAGACAAAAAGGAGCAGGGATAGTGCTGCTATTCTGCGAGAAAAGCAGCTGTATGCATGGCATATGCATCCCTACCTTGGGAGGAAATGTTTTCTCAAATACTTTTTTCCATAGTTCCAAAGGTGTGTTGGCACGCATCTTTCCAAGATCACTGTCAGAGGCAGGTGGTGGTCCTGAGGATCACAGCACACATAAGACAAGTGTGTTGTCATAACAACATAAATCACAGAATAATTTTGCATAATGAACCATCTAATTTAGTATTTTACCTTCTACACTGACAAACTGAAACAAGTCTGAAAAAACCATTGATCTCCTACCATGAAATGGGCTGAGAGGTTTTGTATATTTTATTTTCTTTCAGATCTAAGCTTATTGGTACTTTACTATTTTACATAGTCCAGAGACTTTATTAAACTACCTAACAAACCTGCACAAATAATTCTCAGTAATATACTGAATCATGATTTTAAAATCTATAAGCTATTTCCTTCAGTAATCTGTTAAAACTGATACTGATGTGCTGTAATTTATCTATTTGCTTAAAATGTTTTTCTTCTTTTCAAAAGAATTAAGCAACAAACAATGAACAGGAAATGATCTAACCTATTTGGCTCATGGAATCCAGGCCTGCTGGTATAAAGAGAGGTTTGCTGGGATCCACTGATACAGACTTGCTAAACAGAAAAAAAGAAAATGTATCAAGTGAGCATTCAGCAATCAACAAAAAACAACACTGCTCTAGCCAAGACTAGAGTCGTACTGAGGTTTGCATATAAATACATGTAAATAAAACAGTACTCAATTCCAGTGGTAACCACATTTTCAATTCATTGGTTTGAGGATCAAAACTAAGGAGTTATCACTGTCCTTAGGAGGGATAGGCAGCTGAGTCACAGGAGTCCAAGTCCATGAACAAAAATATTTCTGAGATAATGTTTAAGAAAAAAATTATTAAAATATTTTTAATAATTAATTCTAGGCTCTGAGCAAGACATTTAATAGTTGAACAATAACATTACCTTTTATCGTAGCCAAATGCCAAGTGATTAATAAGAGCACGGGCTTTCAGCAGGAGAGCCTCAGATTTACTGGTAAACTAAATGAATCAAAAAACAAAATATACATTATGAACTTCCATCATAGATATTTTGCCATCTACAAATAGGATAGAGTCTTGCTAATTAATACCTGACACAAATAAATTTACTATATGTTCAAAACTTGACTAGAATAAAAATCTCACATTCCCTTTCAAAAACATGAATATATTTGTTACTGAATATATAGATCAATAAAGATTAAAAAGTAGAATAAATAAAGATTAAAGAATAATTTTTAAAATACTGATTAAAAACTTTTGAAACATGCACATTATAAGGCACAAATCTTTTCCCCAAGACTAATGAGTTTTTAAATTACATTACATATTATCCAGAATACCATAAACATTTAGAAATGCAATGAATAACTATATAACTGTCATAAAAACAGCTTCAAAGTGGCAGAATGGTACAGATTTATCAGAAAGCAATTTTCAGAATATATTCTCAAACAACATGCTTCTTCTTGTCTAAAGGCTTTTGTATCCTAACAGATTCATGTCTTTGAGAAAGAAGTCAGATCCCTGCTGTGATAAATTAGGTTTCTCCCTCTCATTTCAGTGACAATCAGGATTAAGCAGACAAAGAGATTTATATTCTAATTTTTAATTACAATAATGCTCAAATATTAAAAAAATCCCAACCAAGACAGTTAACAAAAGACAGATTTGGATACCAGAGTGAAAAAGCTTTACGTGGATGCAAAAGGACATGCTGGGATTATAAGTATTCAAAGTAAACATAAGCTGTTTTGATAATCACTAAGCTACTATTAAATATTGTTTATTACATCTATGATGGTTGATACAGTTAGATCCATCTTCTGATGCACAGAGAGCCCAAGAGGCAGTGTTACTGGACTGTGAATCGCAGCATGCGTGTTTCTGCCTTTACGCAGAGAATGATCTGACAAACTAAAATAAATACTTCATTGTCCTCATGTTGGCATCTTTCTATGCACTTCTGTAAGGAAGCTCCTTTCCTTCTTCAACACCCTAAGTGTAGTAATCTCATATACTTAAACTACTGTGAAAATGAGCCAATGATTTTAAATCTACGGAAGCTCGGTCACTCAATGTAAGTTCATGCTTCTACCAAAAGGGTCAGTTCTCTAATTCAATCTAAGGCATTCACTTTTGCCCATTCTCCTTTCTTGCACAAAAAAAAAAAAAAACTGCCCAAGATGCAGTAAACTCAATGCAGGAACTAAGCTGGCTCTCAGGTAACTGTTTTTCTTTAGTGTTTGTCGATACTGGGAATTGTGTCGTTTGCTCACAAGGCATGTCCATCCATCCCCTGCCAGTACAGTGCTGACTTGTTCAACAGATAGCCTCATGAAGAAAGCTACCGTAAAACAAATGAAATCCCATTTTCTCTAGGAGTTTTATAGTACTATTTTTAAAAATACTGTTTTGTAACAGAAATATTGTTCATCTTCTCTATTCATAAATAGAAAATAAATATACACACCACTAATGATGCTCCATAATAATGTGAAACAAATCGAAGTGTCTTGCTTATTATTTTCCTCATTTCAGAGTCAAACTCCTGAAAAAGTTGATAGTGGAACACAGATGTAAGAAAAAAACCCCAAAATATTACAGTTAGAACTTTTTTTTTATATAAACTGCAGTGCACTTAAGCTACAATATATAAGGCTTTCAGCTGTCAGCATAATTATATCTTAAGACAGAATCAGTAACAACCTACTCCAAAAAGAAATGTCACAATTTCTCTTTGTTTCTTTTTTACAGATGAAGCCTAATTCAGGCAATATGTTAGTCCAGGAAAAGTTTTTAAATTGAGAACGCACATTTAATTTTCAATTTACTTTTTTGATATTGTTTTAAATTTTTACCAACAGAAATGCTGCCTACAAGAAGAATAAGATTTTTTTTTCTTTTTGTGAAAATATTTAAGTAAATCTTTGGGTATATGCTGTCTAAATTCTAATACCTGCAAGATTTGAAAGGTGCATCAAAATACCTTTTCATCCATGTCTGTTTCATCTAAGATCATACAGATGGTGTTCCCTGGATAAAATGGGTGAAAATTTGGTCCCCGTGATGCCTGCAGGAGTCAATCCATAGACCCCCAACGGAATCAGGCTGGTATTTTGTCCTTATTACATGACAGTAGTTTAAAAGGGTCATGGCTCAGCATAAAGCTTTGGTATGAGAGAAGGCAAGTCCCTTATTAATAAAGAATTCAGTAACTCAAAGAGTCAGCCAGGTATCAAGTGCACTGTGTAGCCATCCAGAGAAGCACAGGCTGCCAGCACAACTGCTAAAAATCAAACATACTGGCCTAGTTTCTCATTATAAAGTGTAGTTAGTATGTGTTTGTTAGCGATTTTTATGTCCTGGGAGACAATCTGGCAGTACTATGACACTTCCTTCCTCCCCTCAATAAAAGATGCAATTCCTAACTTGTCTCTAGAAACTCAGGAAGTACTTTAAAAGTAAAGTTCCAGACTGAAACTGCCACAACTATCAAAAAAATCTCATCAGCTGACTTGAGATACACCCCTCTTTCACTGCCATAAACTTACAGCTGCTGTCACAAGGGACACGTGGAGCTGGATTTCTCTCATTATAAAAGGAAATCATCCACGTGGTGTTTTCTTGTTGAGACACAAGTTGCTGCAGACCAAAAAGGGAAGCATTTTCTACATACATCTCAAAAATCGTCAGTTTGGGGGTGTTTTGTGAAGGAATGACAGTAGGCCTTCCTTAATGCTGTTGGATAGGAAGATTTTTTTTTTTTGGTGGTAGAAGACTGGCTTTCCACACTTCAGTTCAAAAGATTACTGTTATATTAGTAAAATCTTAGTATATAGAATATTTACTGGGAATAATTTAATTATCAAAAAGGTACTTAAGCATTACTTACATGAAAAATATCGTATTTGCTTCCAATTATCACCAAGGGTATTGGAAAAGGGTCAACTAATGCACTGTCCTGTTAAAAAGATATAGGACAGTTAAGCTCTGTAAAAAAACTGTAGAGATCGCAACTGTTAAAGCAACTGAAAGAGATTAAAATAAATTCATAGAAGAGAAGGTTTTCCAAACCTTAAGGTAGAGTAATCAACTTTATTGCAATATCCATATTATATTCTACCATTTTCCCATTTTCTTCCTAAATGGTCAGGAAGCAATCCCTCTGAGCACTTACTGGAATAAAAGGGCTTTTACACTATATATTACATTATTAGATAGGAAAGGAAGAGAGGAAAAACCTCATGTATTCATAGAACACCTGCCTGGCTGGATTAGTAGAACTGGCTTTTTGACACATTCACATTCTTTGGATAATATCTAAAAGAACGCAGAGAAAACCTCAAGAAAAGTAAATTGAATTACTTGCTTGCGTCACACATTTGTCCTACCCATATCATGTTTTCCAAACACTTAAACAATATTTAATGTGAATTTCAAATGTTTGATGTCAGCACAGAAATGAAACATCATCCAACAATCTTGAAAATGTGAATTAGTATCAATGTAAGAAAACAGGTCTGAGAGTGCAGACTTCTGTGCTAAATAGCTAAAGTGGGATAAAAATTTTAATAAGTGAATTACAAGAATTCTCAAGTGATCTGGAAGGGTTTGCTGTAGTCCATATGAAATGAGATAATCCCCTCATGTGTCCAAGCAATTATTTATTTATTCAAGCTGCTTTGGCTGCAGCAGTGCAAGAAAGATGTGTTGTAGCAGAGGCTGGTCCAACTGCTCCTTCCTAACCCCAGGTACTTCACAGACAGGTTAAATGACAGAATGTTGACAGAAGCTGCACACACTGAAAATCCTCTGCTTGGAGAGGAGAAATAATGGCTTCACTCATACACTGTCAAAGAAAAAGCTTTAAGCAAAACTAGCACAACTTAAAGAGTATATAGAATATAAAACTGAAAAAAACCGTTTTCATTTCATAACTAAGAGGAAAAATTTGGGATAAATTAAAACTAGCATATTGAACCCTAAACATGTTTTGATTGTGGAATTTATTTTTGACTATGGAGTACTTTAGATGCACTCAGTCTTTTTAAACAGGGTCTGCAATTGTTATGTTTTATCATCAGAGCAAATAATTCTTTAGCTAGGCCAATGAAATATATCTTAATCCTTAAAAATGTAAGTATTTAATTGATTCCTGTTTATGATAAAAATATGTTTAACCATTAAAAGGCACTTAAAGATCTCCATAAACTATCATTTAATTTGACTATAAAAGACAGTATTTTTTTCTAATAAACTGACATCATTTTTCTTTGAACAATGATGAAAGTAAGAAGAGAACCAAGCAGTAATATAATATTTTATTTGCATTATTGGTGTCTGTGATAATGGAAGATAAACAGAAATTTTAGTTCAGAAGGTAAAATTGTGTTTTCTACAGTGCAAGAATAACAAGTTTTCTTAACAAATAATAGCATTATTATTTTTCTTTATTGCAATAAGCTTGTAATTTTCTGATATGTAAAACCCTGTATGAAACTAGACACTGTGGTCATAATTTATTGCCATTTGTTTGTGCATGTAGGTGTTATCTTTTTGCGAATTACCTTCTCTAAAAGTAAAAACCAAAATAATCCCAATATCAAACTCCATATGCTAAATCTACAGAGTTCTGCATATGTTGCTTTCTCATATATTTTGAGTTACTCTTAAATTTCTGAGCTCTACAAGCACTTGCTGCATTGAAGCATTTTGTAGAAGTTACAGTAACTAGATTTACATGCCAGGTCTTTGAATTGTTGAATACTTATTTATGCATTATATACACACAACATTTGCAGAGGTTTAACGCACAATGACTTTTCATTTCTATTGCGCATAATCTAGTTTAGCTTTTCCAGAGATTTAGTTAGCAATTATGTTTAAAGGACTGATGTTAACATTTCTGAAACTTTATAATTTAATTAGTTGTCAGATTATCAAAAGGCATTGAGTTTGTGATAGACATTTTAAATAAATGCAAAGTATATAGTCATGTTGATGGCTGTTATAACTATATTCTTTGCTTAAATTTGTACCTTCAGCTAGTCTCTTGCTAGATGACTTTTGTACATTCTAGTTTTCATCTTCATTTTAAAAAGATGAGGGGGAAAAAAGCAAACTGCTACTCTAAAACTATTTCTTTTGATTGGTGTAACATGCCATAACAATCACATTAGATATCTAACAAAAAGATATAAGAAACCTTCTTTCCTTGTTTCTGCTCTTATTGAATTTTTATTAAATTGCTATAATTTTCCAGTGAACAGGTTCATCTACATCAAATGGATTTTCAGTCATGCATAAAAATCTAAAAGAGTTGTTTATGATTTTCTAAAGCATTATCTTTAACTGTATAAAGGCCTGTGACATCTGGAGAAAATATTAGAAGTAACTTACAGGGTGATCCCTCTGCAGATTGTTCCACATTCTCTGTTTAATTTCAGCAGCTACTTCAGCGTTTGTCTTTTCTAGTTTGGTTAAAATTTTGTTCACGTGGCTTCTGGTGACCTGCAGAAGGCTCTCCATAGTAGTCCAGAGCTCATTAGGTTTGGAGAGATCCAGTACCAGAACCACAGCAAATGACCTATTAAATAGGCATTATTTGGTCAATATTTAGCGCATGAGGCAGTCAACGTTTTCGTACAAAGCCACACCTATAGTGCAAATGTGAACATCTAACTGCTAAGACAGAATCAAATGGGACAGCAAAGTAAGATGGCTTTTAGGGATATTCTGCACTCTGAAGAAACCTTTCCCTTGTCTCTCGTTCAGAACTATTATTTTGGCAACTTCCAATCAAGCATTGTTTTTGGGGACTGTCTTCAAACAGTAACATATGCAAAAATCCTCAGCCCTGTAGCTCCTTCCTGAATGACTCAGGATTTCTGCTGTTATGTATCCCTGCCATCTCGTAAGTCTACAACCCCAGACCAAGCAATGTTAGCCAATGGCTAGAATCTTTCGTAACTATTACCTGTGTTCCCTGTATACCTGGGAAAGTCTCCTACTTTCACTATTTTTTTCTAATATGAAATGAATAAAATCTACTTAAGGACAATATTCTGTGTCATGGACCGTGACAGTTTGCTGGAACCTTGAATGGATGCCTGAGAAAAGTCTTCTGAAAGATAAAAGAGTGACATGGCATCCTTAGCTACTACCAGACTTGTAAAGATGGATTGTTAATGAGAAATGTTTTACATCTGAAGTCCTCTCTTTATAAACCCTGCCTCCCAAAACACCAGCTGCATTTAAGTGCAACTGTAAAGATCATTCCAAGTGCAGTAATCTGAATGGATGCCATCATTCTGTCTCATTCTAGCCTATCTTGAAAAAGGGGATTCCAGACCAGAGTGGCATTACAAAAGCTATGAATCAAACTGAATGTTCAATTTCATGATAAAATGCTGTGGGGAAGAAAAATCTGGTGAAAAGTCTCTTGATGAAATTAGATATAGTTTATGGAACTTTTAAATAGGCAAATTGCTTGAGTACAATGATGAGAAAACCAGCAAAATGCACTTATATTTGTTAGAATAGTAGAATTTTTACTGGCATGTTAAAATATTGTCCTGTGAATTGTTCTTACAGAACATTGCTATCCCAGCAAACAATCTTAAGATTCTTCACATCAGAAAATCCCTTATCAGTAAAAAAGGAAGAAAAGACGGATGGAGGTAGAGCTCAATTAATTTAATTTAGTTAGAGACTGAAAAATTATACCTAATTTTTTCTCTCCCAAGCTCTTCTAGAGACAAAGAGCTTCACATGCCATAAGTGTTTTATTTTTATTGTCTCTTAGTCTCTCAGGAAATAATGGCATTATCTCAGTAGTCAAAATAGGAGCAAATATACCTGAATAAAAATTATATCCTTCCTTTTTCTTCCCCACAGAAATTAAAGGTCAATACCAATGAAATAAAGCAATAGACCATAATACAAAACTTGTCTTTTGATCCTTTTCTCCCCTTTTAGCTCCCATCTTCACTAACAAAAAAAACCCCCAAAAACACAAAAAGCACCCCCTATCACATTGTCATTTCTTCATGCAATTTTTCATGCATTTCTTCTTCTTCTTATATTATCCATTACAGGATTTTCTCACTGCAGTCTCTTAATTTGATCAAAATTTCTGTTTCCTTTTGTTTTCAAACCATTTCAGTAGCTCTGGTTCTTCCTGGAAACGTCATCTCTCTGTTAGGAAATTACCTTTTCATTAAAAGGTCATTTCCCAAAAATCCAGAGACTTTTTTGTCACAATTTTTGGCCATGTTTTTCACCCTAAAATATCAGTTACTGAAAGAGCATCTATGTGTGCACACGAAAGTAGAAAGCAAGATTTTATTTTTCATATGTCCCCAAGTCTGTTTTCTAGCTCTTCAGTGAGCATAAAGATATTATGTCTTTTCTTTTTCTGTATTTCTTGTTCTTGCTACTTAAGGCCAACCTACTTCCTCCATGTTTTGTTGAGATTACTTAGAATTTGTTTATTTAGGAGGGAAGCATGAAAAGGAAGACCCAAGCAAAGCATTGTGGTATTAGAGTGATTCTTAGCAAAACCTCATAAATGTTCTATCTTACACTTTGAAAGAGGTTTTCACAAAAAAAAAAAAAAAAAAAAAAGTCTAGAGATTAGTAATGATTGAAGGAAAGCTCAAATTAACTCTGGAATTCTAATATTTACACTTACCTTATGTTGTGGCTAGTGATTGGTATTCGAATGAGTTCCACTAATGAGGTTCCACCACCTAATTCCCAAAAATGAGCTACATCTTTAGGCTGCAAAAGAGTTTCTTTATGTTATTTTTAGGTCTGTGTATATATATAAAGATATGGTAAATTATACTTTATACTCACTGAATTGTGTCTCCTTGCTCTTCTTCCAAAAGTATATTCCAAAGCTAATGTTGGCTTTGGAGACTCTTCCCTAAAGCAAAAGTAACTGAATTTTGTCAAGATCTTCTAAAGAAAGGAAGTTAATTCTATGTTACTAAATTGTATTTATCAGTCAGTTCAGAGACAGCAGTAAAGAGAAGACACTTTTAGACAGGAGGTGTCAGGTACTGTAGGCAGGAGAAGCAGCAGCACCAGCCCAAAGAAATGAGTCATTTCAGCTAACACTGGAGAAGGACTGAAAGGGTCACCTGAGAGGTTATAATGATGGGAAGTCAGTTCATTCCTAAGTGATCAACCAGTCACAGAACACATCTGCATACGTGTATTATGAATTATCACACAATATCACTGTTTTTTAATCTACAGCTGAAAACTGCTTTAAAATATTTAACACATACCTCTCAAGGCATCTCAGTATGATAGTGGTCTTTCCCTAGAAATTAAAAACAAAGAGGAAATCTATTGTACTGTCTTTAAAGCATAAAGTTGTATCACTAAGTCAAATTCATTTAACATTCCAATAATAAAGTACCAGAAAACTGCAAATGCATGTAACTGTTTGCAGTCTTATAGTGGAAACTCAAGTCCAATTTTCAATCAGAATCAAGTTACTCTACTATTATTATAATTATAAATTAATAGACATGACAAATATAGTAATAGGAACACTGACTTAAAACAGACATTAGTGATCAATTAGATCTCTGTAGAATGAGACCATGAGATATTATGTCTTTAAAATTAGGTGAACTTTAACATCTGAAAATATGAGATGTTTTCCCTGACACAAATTATGTTTGAAAAGTGTAGAACTGTACAGTATTTAGATTACCCCGTTTTTGTTTCCCATAAATAATATTGATTTTTCCCAAACTTCCCCTGGCTTGACATCATCATCATCGGGATTTTCTCTCTTCTCCACTTCAGCTATAGCAAGATCCCATAAAGTATCACTAGTTGGAAGAAAACAAAGTAGGAAGGGAATAATTAGAGAAAACACACACCTTAGGTCCTAATTCCTGAAAACATCTAAATTAAGGTTATTGTGGTGTAGATTATTATTATTATTATTTCACATCACCTGCTCTCTGCCTGTCGAAATACTTCTAACCAAACCAGCTGAAGTGACATTCCTCAATAACCCCAGCAGCCACTTGTGGCACATACTTAGGCACATACCAGCTGTAGAGCGGGGGGCTTTGCTTGGAGTACATTCAATCACAGAATCACAAAATCGATTCGGTTGGAAAAGACCCCTGAGACCATCTAGTCCAACCTGTGACCGAACACCCCCAAGTCCAGTGGCGACCGAGCGCTACGTCCAGGCTTTCCTTGAAACACCCCCAGGGACGGTCACTCCCCTCTCCCCCGGGCAGCCCCTGGGCACGGAGACACCTTTAAAGGCTGTGTGGCGTGCCAGGCTTTCCGCAGGAGCCCGCGGCTGGCAGGCAGCCTCTGGAGCCGGCCACGGCTCGGAGGGCTCGGGAGAGCTCCGGACCTGCGCTCGGTGCTGCTCGGGCAGCGAGGGCTCCCCGTGCCCAGGTTCACCCGCGGTCACCTGCAGACCCCGTTTTTGTGGGGTCCCTTACAGAAGCAACCGGACAAGGGCCAAGCGTGCCCCACCTGCCCTCGGCCCCGCTCGCTTTAGGGTTAGAGGCCGGAACGGCCCGTTTAAGCACTCTTTCCCTCCTCCCCTCTTCCAGGCTGTCTTCTCCAGCCGCCGGCCCCTTCCCCCAGGGCAGCGGGAGCGATCCCCCGTCCCCAGCCCGGGCACGGCTCCCGGTACCTGGCCTTGGGCATCGCGGCGCGTGGCGCGGGCCCGGCTGCCCGTGGCCATGGGAACGGCGCGGGGCACGCCGGGAGCTGTAGTTCCTCGGGGGGAGGACGGGCGGCCCCGGCCCCGCGCTCGGCCCAGCCCGCCCCGCGGCCGCCCTCAGAGGGAGGGGCCGCGCGCAGGCTCCACCCAGGCCTCGCCCCGTCTCGTTCCCGGGGGGCCGCGGCTGCCTCTGTGCTCAGGGCTCCCGCGGCTCGGTACCGGTGCGAGTGTGAGGGCGCTCGGGTGATCTGTGCTGTAGCCGCCCTTGTGAGGGAACAAAATACTCCAGCTGTGCAGGAAGCCAGGGATAAGTAAACAACACCTCCGGGAGTCTTATGTGACCTCGGCCTTAAGCGCTGGCTCTTGATAAACTCAAGGTCCATAGGGAGCTTTGTTACCAGCGCAGGGAGGGAAACGAGGCCTGAGTAGTTCCCGCTCCCTATGAACTGCTGTGTAACACGCAGTAAGTGTAGTTATTTTACAAAAATTATTGTGCAATTATTTTATTGTCCAGCGGAGGGCAACGAGGGTGAGTGAGGGACTGGGGCATCTCTCTTAGGAGGAAAGGCTGGGGGAGCTGGGCTTGTTGAGCCTCGAGGAGACGCGACTGAGAGGGAACATCGCCAGTGTCTGCCAGTGCCTGAAGGGAGGTGTTGAAGGATGGAGCCAGGCTCTGCTCAGTGGTGATGAGCAAAAGGACAAGAGGCAGTAGGCAAAACTGATGCACAGGAAGTTTCACCTGAACATGACAAAGAACTTCTCTACTGTGCAAGTGACCGAGCACTTGAACAGATTGTCCAGAGAGGCTGTGGAGTCTCCCTCACCGGAGGTATTCAGGAACCATCTGGACACAATCCTGAGCCATGTGCTCTGGGATGACCCTGCGAGCAGAGAGGTTGGACCAGATGACCAGCTGTGGTCCCTTCCAGCCTGACCCATTCTGGGTTTCTATGACTTCGTAGTTACAAGGGGCATACAAAGTAAGACACAGTGACAAACATGGGCTTGATTATTTCAAATAAGATTATAAAAAATCAAGTCCAAAAATGCTGGGCTTGGATTAGAAAGTAGAATTTAAAGTAGGATTTAAAGGATGCAGTAAAACAGCAGGACGACCCTGAGTATGAAATGGGCATAGGATGTAGGTGAACCCAACAAGTCTAAAGTTTCCTACCTCAGAGAAGTGGTCCAAAATCCAGGACAGAAGTTACAGTTCTCTTCTGCTTTCTATCTTGGACAGTGGAGACAGAAAAACCTGACTAAAATCATTCAGTTACCTGTTTGATCAAAGCCAGGAAAATTGGCCTCGTTTATAATGATTAACTCAGATTTCATTTTAACCATTCCTTCCTTACCCAAACAAGGCTGAGTATCCTAACACTGACCCTAAGTAATGTTCATTCTTTAAATGAGATTCTTTTTTCTAAATTTAGCTTGCATCATCACTCAGTTTCAGTTCCACAAGCCTTTATTTAGCTATTTTTCTTGTTTTTAGTTACTTCCAGATTTTTGCATGCAAATTATCAGGAATTGGCTAACCTCCTATGGAAACCATGGTCTTACTAATTAAAGTCCAGAAATAAACTTAATTATGTAGTGTTGTACTGCGCAGATCACGATGATGTCTAAGTGCATTTCTTTCATCAATTTCAGTTCAGCAGAACACTTGTGATATCTTGGTGTATACATGAAGCCAGTGCTGATCTGCAATCAGCATCTAGAGGTAGTAAAGTCCCTGGACAAAGCTGCTCTTGCTCTGCCTAAGAGAGCAAAGCTATGGTAGGAATTGCTCCTGGCACTATGACCTATGCAGGCATTACTGCAACAACAAGAGTATAAAAAGCAAAGTATTTTCACAGTGATTTACTCACTGTCAGAGGTGGCATGGCGGGATGTTGGGAAGATGCTGCATACAGATCTGAGCACAGCAAAAGTGTGTAAATGTACTGAAACCCAATCTGGGATTTAAATTGGAGTTTTCGGTATTTTATATTTTAACTTTCTGTGTTTCTTTTGCCCTAATTAACTTTAAAGAATACCCAAAACAACACACATACAAAACTTTTTTCCCCTAATTCAATATTACTGAGTTACTTATCATCTTAGTTAAAATTAACTCAAACTAATGGATTGCACTAAGCTGTATCAACAATTAAAGCTCTACCTGAAGTTTTAAGTTCTGCATTCCTTTACACAAGAATGATTTTCTTCCTTCAGGAACCATTAAAACCTGTGAAAACTGGTAGTCCGACAAAGAACTTCAACATCAAATACCTATCAGCCTTCTTTCATAGGGAAATATATGCTTTTATTTCAAATTTAAACAAAATGTAAATATAAAATAACAAAACCCATTGAACTTATGGATTGTATTAACATCTTAAAGCTTTATCATTTCCCTGGTGTGCCACAGGAGTAAATGGGTCTTGCTTGTTCTAGAAATCAGCTGTTCTTTTGCTAATACTGCTGCTCAAAAACTGACAAGGCAAAGTCAAGTTCAAGTAATACATTAATTTACATTGCATTCCAAATAGTCTTTTCAAAGCAATGTGATTGTTTGTACAGACATTTACCAGTGATTTTTCAGTCACTGTCAAGCTCAGATTCATTGATCATTTACACAGATTGTTGGTTCTGACCACTAACTCAAAGCAAGCATGAAAGGTATTCTGAAGTTCATGGTAGAAGGTGAAGTCTCCTTGCATGTGCTAACATATTAATCCCATCCTGCCAATATTTTTACAACCTAGGTTCTGCAAGCTTTGAGCATAGGAAGTTTTCCAGCAACAGTCCCAGAAGCTGCTGCTCATTGACAGCTCCCACAGAATCATCACTGCTGAGGTGAGAAAGGTCAGCTTCCTACCTGGGCTTTAGTCGTGGATTAGGTAGCACATTGGTGGATAAGGTTAAGAGCTGTGGATCACTCATGAGGCTTGGGCTAGTGGGCAAGGCAGAACAGATTATCTGCTTGGAGTGTGAAATTTTCAGCCTGCTGTCTTGCATTGTGTGGTATTCCTTAAGTAGGTCTGGAGCTTGATTGCTGTGGAGCAAGGCCCTGAGATACGCAGAGCTGCGTCAGGGAATGTGCTTACACGTGAAAAGGACTCCACTTGCTGACCCTGTTACCTTGAAGGGAAGTGTCTGCTGGGGTTACTGTCAATACAGAAACCTCACTCTTGCTAATCAAACTGGAAGCAGCTCCATTGTTTAATAGAGGGTTGCCTGTGAGTGCATTTGTTAATACGGTAACTGTGAGTGCATTTATTTCATAAAATAACCCAGCATTCTGGTCATGTGACTGTGTGGGATTAATGGTGACCAACAAGCAGTTCGTAAGTCTGGACAGTCATGCCAAGAAAAGGGAACTACTGCATGAATTGCTTCTGACTATGATGTTGTAGGGACATACTGCAGCAGCAAGAGCTCAACAAAAAAAGCAAAGCAGTGTCTGTAGAGTTTCCTACCCAAAGGCAGGCAGGAAGGTCATACTCTGCTCATAGCCTGCACAGGGCTTTATGCAACAACTGTTTGTAATGTTGTTAATGAAATCTCCAAATGTGCACATCAGCTGGTTGTACTGTTTGTCATGTTGTCTTAAAATTCAACAAAGATTTTAAAAACTACATTATCAAGCTCACTAGCAAAATGCTCCACTTTTTTTCCCTTCTAATAACAGAAGGTGATCTCCCACATACTCATTTGAAACTGGACAATTAGGAAATACTACTGGTTGGAGTATTCTAGGTTATTATAATTTCATGATTACAAGAAGACTTTTGTGTTTGTAAATTGAAGTTTTTAATCATATTTGAGACGCTTTATACTGTGACCTAACTGATGCAGTAACATGTTTGTATTTGTAAGCACCCTTACCTCCTCAGATCTGAAAGTTAATTATTTTGCTAATTGCAAAGGGGTGTTAATTCCTAAATGAATTTCACCATGGGATCTGTACCACTTCCCATGGGGTGCAACACAAGAAATAATGTAGTTGGTCTCTTGTAGCTCCCAAGATGCTTCCCTGGATGATGGCAGGGGAGTGGCTGCCAAGGAGGAGGTAAAACCTCCTGCTGGCCCTGCCTCATGGAAAGAAAAGGGTCTAGTGCCCCAGCCACCACCAAAGGGTGGAAGTGACCAGGAAGCCCTTTCCACCTTGCAAAAGTGAAAGTATCTGGATGTAGCATGTGAGTTGTTTGGTTGTAATTTTCGAGAGGAGGCACTGGCCCGTGGTACCATTCATCAAGTGGTGCTTGAGTCCTATGGACTTCAGTAGCCATGGCAGGACTTTGAGAGCATTCTAAAGAAAGCCAGCTTGCCTGTCTGCCTTTCCCCTTTTTAAGACCTTGTTCTCTTCATGGCCTGTATCTCCCTTCCAGTCTGTTTTAATTCTTTAGGAGGATACTCCCTGCTTTTAATAGAGGGCAAAAAACTGAAAATACCTTTTCTCTCAGTATGAGCATTTGAAATATTTAAAGAGCATAAACCAGAGATTTTTCACTGTGAAATTACTTCAGTTTAAGTAATAATCAAGCAAAAACCAATGAGGACTGGCTGTAAGGGATTAATGATCCGTGATTATTAACATGAGCCGAAGTGGAAAGTGTAGAATGTCCATGAATCAGTGATTTATGTTTGAGTACCTTCTTCATGGCTGTACCAAAATTATCTGTGAGAGTACGGTGCTGATTCATTTCGGAGCCTGCAAAGTGGTTTATTTACATTGGAACAAAAAAGAGAGGACTGGATGAAAAACAATGGATGTAATTTCTGTATATTTGACCTGTGTAGCACTGAGGCTTGCACCTGAAAAAGGCAATGGAAAGTGCTCCTAGGTCCAATAGTGCAGATGCAGCATCATGGCTTCAGTGTGCAAGAACATTATATTAGTATTATAATAGGAAATGTATAGATACAAATTAAAAACAAGAAGTAAATATTATTCAGACTCAATGTATATACATTATACATATTGTACATGGATTTTAGGTCTCCAGGTTTACTCACAACATTTCAGTCAATGGTTTTCTGTGTTGTTCTTTTGTTTTGAATTGTGAGTCGTTCTTGCCATCTATATTATATTGTT